TACATTGAACAATAAATAATCTTGATCATTCCATCTCTTTCAACATGCCATATCCATTCTGAACGGTTTGGTTGCCCTGGCAGCCCTCGCCTCAAGAGCAAATTCTCCAAGGAAATATCTCGGTGGCCTTGGTGACGTAAAATGGAACCCCTTTCACTTTCTTCCTGGCCTTTGCTGTCAAACCGACTCCAAACTGTCTGCAAAAACGAAACAAAAATACAACGCGTATGCAGCATACTCGGGAGCCTGGCCTACATTGTGTGAGTGTAGGAAATCCACAGCTTTCAGGATTTGCCAAACCTTGGCATGGCTTTGCAAAGGCATGACAAATGGAAAAACAAACAACTAAGATTTATATAGTCATATCATATCTAATCTAAAGATTGCATAGTTAAGTTTCCCTAAAAATCTAGAAACCAAATCATTTGTGCGAGCGTGACCTATCCTGCGTCCTGTCGGTAGTAGCTATTTAAGCTACTAGCTACCTCTAGCTACTACCTCCCTCCACGGTCTTCAAACAATGTCTCAAGAAATAGCAATCGACTCTAGTCTAAAGGTTTTAAAATACCTGCAGGAATCGCATTCTCCGACTGAATTGACAAACCACACTCAACTGATACGGGAAAAGGATAGATTCCCACTCTTGTCGGCAAATCAACTGCCAAGGAGAAAAAGATCAGACAAGGAGCATAGCGCTTGATTTGCTGCTCATTCAACAGACCCGCGTCACGCTGTCGCTCCACCCCTCAGACATGGCCAAAGCAGCGCTTCCGATCAGGGCAGTCGACCCTGCTGTTGAAAGTCTGTCTCTCAATATGAGGGGGAATCCGGAGATGCTGTTGAGTTTATGTTTATGCGGTCGGGAATGGTAAGGGAAGCAAGAGAAAAGAGCGGCGCAAAAAATAAACACAAGACACTTAAATTAAAGCACTTGGCATTTCATTCTATGTCTGGTGAAAGAAACTTGGTGAGTCTGAGTCCAAAGGCATGGGAATTAAACTTTGTGTTGCTTGGTGAACCCCCAGCTTCTGAGGCCCCTGGGCAGTCGAAGAGATCTCCACCGTCGCAGTTTTCAAGAACCAGCCAAGTCCTGGTGACTGTTGAAGCTGCAATGTCATGCAATGTCTAGATACTGTTGTTTTTGTTAGGCACACGTCTGAAGAAAAACTTGGTCAAGACTCTCTGCATGACATCAAAGTGTCTCGTCAAACATGGTATCAAACAGTCAATTCCAACAGCCAAGCAATGCCAAGCCTGTCCACTTGTATATTGCATAGTACACTCAAGTCATGAGTGGTATGTTAACTCATAGCAACAAAAACTGCTGTTGTACCCTTGACTCTTGACTGCTTCGAAGACTGCGAAAATAATCTAAAAGTGTAAAACAACCCAGCTAAATGGTGGTAGCAAATCAATCACATGCTAGGTGATACTGGGCCTTTCGTGTGCTGTCCTGGTCTCACTTCGAAAGCTGCCGTGCCTCAAACAGTCTTTACAAAGTGAGATTCTCAAAAGGAGTTGCAGCACCGGCTGACCCAATCTCGTTCTGCAACCAATTGTACTGTAGACATTCTGGGGTATGCCTATTTCAGGGGGATCTCGTTGCAAAATACGGAGCATCTTACATGAAACTGAATTTTGCTCTTTTGGTGGGCCCATCTTGTTCTGCAAGGAAAGGAGCTCTGTTCCAAGAGCAACCATGTTGCAAGTATGCTCCATGCTACTTTAGTGCTCCATGTCTAGTTGCTTACAGTATACTTATAACTTATAACTCATAAATAATCATGATTATGTAGTCAGTAAACTGGGGCCATGGCATTTGTAGCACCTTGGGACGCTGGGGATTCGCAATGCTTGATGATTCTTGCAACAAATCAAACCCTTGCACCAACAAATGAAATCCTTGCCAATTACAAGCCAAAGCCATTTCCTTTTGTCAATCAATAGGACGATTTCGATTCTTGCTCTTTAGCAATTATTTTTCAGTGTCACGTGCAATCATACTGCCTCTCAGAAGTTGACATATCGGCAAGTTCTCTCCTGTTCCCGGAAATACTTGTACACGCCAATCTCATTCATAGCATCCTCCGCAGGCTACGCAGGCATTTTCGACACCGTGCAGTTTAAGAATCACGGGCACCCAAGTCCTGATTGAAAATGACACGTCAAAACATTTACTGGAAGTGCGAAGAGTCAGTATGATCATTTGACATCAATATTGATCTTAAAACAAGGTGTGAATGAATGCTCCGGCCATTGCAGCTTTTCTGATGCTCTTCGGCCGGGAGTGACATTAAGGAACATCAATATCGTTGTTCATGCCAAAGGGAGCGGAGCAAGCCTGGTAAGCCACACCCCAGAAATCAAGAACTCCAAACATGTTACTCCATGCATCTCCGTCGGCTCAAACCCAACAAATCATCCACAATCGCCATATATCATGACCTATCTATCGCAAATAAAATATATTGAAATATACGGTATTGTGACTGTTGACATTCTCATCTATTCTCAGCATCGGCTCAATTCCATCCTTTCCCTTCCGGTCCCTTCTGGTCCCTTCCGTCGCCTCGGGGGAACCCATCCCAAATTCCCAGGCCACGCGGTCATTTGCCGCCAACCTTTGGCGGTAAGGAAAGACTACGTCCACGGGGGTAGGCCAAAGAAAAGGCAAGAGGCAAGATGGCTACCCATCGGACGCACAAAGGGGGCTCAGGTTTTATGACTTGGCTTCTAGATTTATTTTGAAAAGGACTATCAGTTTAAGGAAATGCATCATCAGAATCCGTCCCAATCCTTCAACGCTATTTACAGTACATATTAGACTTTGGCTCCAGTATCACTAAGAGGAGGAGTTCACTTTGTCATCTGGAGTGCACCTTGGAAAATAGCTGTGCCACAGTACGACCCGGAGGAGTACTAGAAACATGCTCATGGATGGTCATTGAGCTAGTCTGACCGCAAGTCAATTCATCCTGTAACTGCACAACAATTTCCCCGAACAAGCCTAGCATTCTAGTCCTCAAGTGCCCAGGCTCTCTGCATGTCTCGACATGCACTGTCTCCATGTTCTTCACCACTGTGAGAACCTTGCAGCAAATGCTGATGAAAAACATGAAAAATACAGTAGTTGTTGGAGAACATCGCCTTCAGTGAACCGTTTTTCCTGCCTTTTTGCAAAGGTGGGTCTGGGGATGTCTGGGGATGTCACGAGTGTATGGACGATCGGGGTGAGAAATGTGCTTCCGGCACCAGAAGTTGTTCTCCCTTTAAACAACAACAACAACAACGACAACAACAACAACCACAACGACAACAACAACAACCACAACCACAACCACAACCACAACCACAACGACCACGACCACGACCACGACCACGACCACGACCACGACCACGACGACCACGGCAACGGCAACAGCAACAGCAACAGCAACAACAACACAGGGAGTCTCTTAGTCTCTTTCGATCAATGTATGAGCCACGCCTGGAAACGTAAATCTTGAAGAGATGCAGGAAAACAGTAGAAAATCTGACGTAGAAAAATGAATATATATAATACATATATAGTATATATACACAGTATATATATATACTGCAGTCCATTGTGTTATAAAGCCAAATCTCCATGAGGAAAGCAAAATACTTGCACAAATAATAGTTCGACACGGACATTCTCCCCAGGCCTCTTCCTCCCCAGGCCGCGCCCATCTGTATTTTTCCACCTTCCCGAACAAACAAGTCCTTGGCGACAGGCACTCTCGGAAGACATGCTGAGGTGGTGTTGCGAATCTACCTCACTGTCTTCCAACTCCGCCCACGAGGATGTTTGAACGCCACACGCATCGTTGTGGGATTCGTTTGTGGTTCAAGATCATGAGAGTTCCTCCACAAATGATTCCAGACTTGCTGAGATATTGGCTTCTTCCAGCCCTTCAACCTGGTGAATTGGCCATCCTCAGTAAACGAGCTGAGTTTTTACCGGTGAACAATCAAACACAGCTGCGTCTGGACAATTGTAGACAGACTGACGCACCATCGATTTCAACGCTTCACCTACCCTGTTGCAGCTGCCAGCAGCAAATCGAAAAATTCACTGTATATAATGTCAAAACACTGTCCCAAGCCCTGCGCAAACCCTGAGGATCTGAGGAAGGTGCTGGTATCTGCACGAACTCTGCAAATTGATGAAAGTGCCGAAGATTTGTTTCAACTGTTTCCTTGGCAATGTCAAGGCTGGCCGGTAATTTACAGTATTTGTTCAAGACATACCTTTGAGTCCAAGGCAAAGAATTTTGGGCTTGTCCGATTGTCGGGGTCCACCACATGTTGCTGGCTTCACCATTCTTGTGGACTGCCCTAACACAGTGCTATTCGGGGGACCATATAGGCCAAACATTTGCCACATGACAATCTTACACTCGACTGGTGAGTGCAACAGAAAGGTCTCAGTTTTATGTGTCATCAACCTAGGGCATGCACAAATAAGTTGAGATCTTGCATGATCTTTCAACCAGTTGCACATCTCTCGCTACTAGTTGTTGATAGGAACAACAAGGAACCTTAGGTATGTGCAGCTAGATTGGATTGCGTAGCAAAGTGGTCTTGAAGGAAATTGTTGCCCAAAGAATTCATGTATCATGCCTTCAACATCTGAAGCTGCATATCAGTCCAAGAAGTGGCTCTGGTCCATTTGAGACGGTGGCTCGTGGATTCCTATCAGCTTGGTCAGTGCCTGCAGGATGAATCGGTGCTTGACTCTCAAGGTCTGTTCTTGCAGCAACTTCCGTTGCTGGCAACTGCCCTGTGCTCCACACTCAGCGTCTCAGCTACATTGAAGTCACTTCCAACTGTGAGCCTCTGCCACCTCTTGGCCCGCTAGAGGAAGACCTTGGAAGACGGAGCAGTTGTGACTTTTATGGGTTTGCTCTAGGCGTTTTTGCCCGAGGACCTGCCAGGGGTAGCCTGCGTCGGCCGAAAACTCGGGACAGGGTTTTGCCATGGAGGAGCATATTTTCGGTTCCATCCCCAAGTCGATTGGGGATAAGTTCGATGTGGTCGCAGATGTGCTGGATGCGGCAACAGACAGCTGTGGGCTGCGCCTGCTTCCATTTGGGGTGGAGGGCACTTTGCTCGGCATTGGGCTCCCCTTGCGTCGTGTTTCGATTTACGGTTTGGAGGTCTTCGAATCCGATCCTTGCTTGGTTCTTGTTCCATCGGCCGATTGTTGGTGGCGTCGTGCCCCTGAGGTTCAAGAACCTTTGGCCCCTTTCTTGCTTGAGCTCTGTGCTGGCTTTGGCGGCATGTCCATCGGTGCCTCCTTCTTTGGTGCTGTCCCTGTCGTCTCAGTGGATTTCTCGTCGCTCTCAGTTCGTCATTTGAAGGCTAACTCCCATGGGCAGGTTTTGGCATTGGACTTGAATCACCCACATGCCTCACGAACCATTCACGCTGCGTGTCCTCCGCATGGATTTACGGGCACCATGGGTTTCCCCTGTCAGCCTTACAGCTCTCAGGGTAGGATGCAAGGGTGGAATGATAGTAGGGCCTTTGTACTGCTTTCAGGCCTTCGGGTTTTTTGGTTCACACAACCTCAAGCAGTGATTTTGGAGCGCGTAGCTGCTGCCAGGTCGAATCATGATACACGCCAGGCCATTGCTGCTTTCGCTAAGGCGATGGGCTTCGAAATCCTAGAACTCACATTCGACTTAGGCACACAGTGGCCGTGCAAGCGTCTTCGGTGGTGGACTTTGCTGATCCCGCCTCGTTGGAATCATCATGGGCTTCACCCTTGGCCCTGCCTTCCTTCAACACCCAAGATCGGGCAGGTCCTACCGCAATGGGGGACTTGGAGTGAGCCGGACGAAACTGAGCTCCAGTTGGACATGGAGGAGCTCTCTCTCTACATGGACCCCAGGCTGGGCAAAGAAGATCGCTGCCTCACCTTGGACAGCATCGCACCGACATTTCTGCACTCCTACTCCAATGCCACTCGGCCTTGCCCCTGCCACTGCCGCTCGGCTGGATTCAGATACGAGACTCTTCTGGACCAGGGACTGCGCGGAAGCTGGGTGCCATCTCAAGTTCATGGAAATCCGAGATTTCTTCACCCAAGGGAGGTTGCCGCTTTGCTTGGTGTCCCAGACTCAGTCCTGCTTCCCTTGGGACCTCGGGAAAGCAATTGTCTTTTGGGCCTCATTGCGTCGCCTATCCAGATGGTTTGGATCTATGGCACCTTGGTTGAGAACTACCAAATGGCTACTGGCTCAGAAGAGGTCCTTACGGCACTGGCCACCTTGGAGAACTATAAACGTGAGCTGCTTCGGCAACTACATGGGGGATTTCCAGCTTTCGACACACCGCCTTGGCACTTCCAGCTTTGGTCCAATGGGTCATGCCTTGAGATCCTGTGCAGCAGGGCTTCAACAGCAGGTTCATTGGAATGGGGTCATCATGGTCAGATCTCCGAAGGGGGATGCCTTCCCATCTCTGATGACTCGCTCCTGCAAGCACCGGGGCCTTATCTACTTGAGAGTCACGGAAAGCAGCAAGCGAGGGAACGACCCACTGGACTCTTGGCCATTGGCATCGCTCATGAGCACGAGCTGATCATCGAGTGCGTTGAGCCCGGCAGCTTTCTCTTCCAGGTGCTACGCAAGCATAACTTGCAGCGCATCCTGTTTCTGCGAGATGACCTGGGCAGGGTCTATGGCGCCGACTTCAGGCTTTGGCGGTCCTTGAGGCTTCTCACACTACCATGGATTGTCAGCGGATGGCACACCTTGGTCGGCAGAGGACCACCTACCCATGACACAGATGGAGCAAGGCTCGGCCTGGGCGATCCCATCATTTGGGCTACACTTCAGAGTCTGGTTCGGCAGTGTGGGCTCATGGCTGCTGGCCCGGTCTGGGTGTTCTCACCCAAGCAAGCGAACACTCTGCTGCGCACCTCCATTCCACAAGGGCTCGAGGCAAGGGTCATCCAGGGCCCTGCACAGGTCATTTGCATATTCCCGGCTGACGAGCACTGGGCTTTACTTCATGGAGTCATTCAAAATGGCAGCATTCAATGGACTTACTTCGATGGACTTCGTGATCGGCTTTTGGATGTCGCTGTTCGGCTTTCTCAGCAGCTTGCCATTTTGCTCGGTGCATCAGTCACAAGCTTCGCTTCGACCACGCATTACACCCAGCAGGCGGAGCACACATGCGGCACCATTGCTTTGCTCCATGCTTGCCTTGTCTTGGGCTTTCCAGGTGGATTTACTGAGGACAACATCAATCGGATCCATGGACACCTTCTTTTACATGATCGGAAGGCGGACTTCACTGGCTATGGGCCACTTGGGCGGGCAGACACCCTTTCAGAGCTTGCCAGCCTTCTAAGCGAGCATGGAGTCCCTGCTGAACATTCGAGGGATCGAGCAACTTTGGTGCTTGAGAAACTTGGGACATCCTTGGTCCAGTCAGTGCTCAGATCCAAGATGCCATGGGCCGCACTCAAAGCTGAAGCCAGCAAGCCTTCGTTCCGTCTTAGGCTGGTTACACCTCTGGAACTCTCTCGGCATTTACAAGACAAGGAAAAGACCACGTTCGGGGCCTCAGCTTCTAGCAAAAAACAGCGAGGCAACAAGGAAAAGCGGCTGTCCACCAAGCCTATCAAGGTGGACCCTCAGGCGTTGGAGCTTTTCCCACTTTGTTGACGAGGACGGGAATCGAGTTAGTGCCATTGACTTCCAAGAGGTTGCTGCCGACCAAAGTGGGATCGCTCTTTGCAACGCAGAGGGGGCAGCTCCATTCTTCTCTTCCAGCAGTCTTAGCTCGGAGGCACTGGCCTTGGCTCTCATTGACCTGCCAGAGGAAGACATCATTGCGACAGCGAAGATTCAGAAATGCATGATCCCTGCCAAGTACAAAGCTACCGAGGAACCCGTTGTCTTTTTCGGCGGCCTCCTTCAACTTGGCGACGTCGCTGTCAAACGGAAAGCCTCTCAGAGCATGCCTCAACCTGCAGTTGTTACTACCTCAGTCCTTAAGATCCAAGCTTATCGTGATCTTCTTGGCACCTCCTGGGAGGCCGTATCCAAAGCCCCCATCCGAGAGCTGGCAGAGGCCACACCGGCCCTGCAACTCTGCAAGGATAGCAAGTGCACTGGGAAGACAACCGACTGTCAAAAGGCACATCCAGCTGTTGATGAACAGTATGATGGGGTTATCCTTGACCTCTGGAGCCGTCTCTTCACCACCATGGAAGGCAAGAAGACGGAAGCCCAGGAGGCCGACTGCTTCTCAGTTTTGCTCCGGGTTCCCTCCTCGATGGTGTCACAGATCTTGCAACAACAGCCGGTCGGCTTCTTCTTCGAGCCGAGATGTCAAACCACCAAGGGCCCGGACCCAAGGTACAAAGTGATTTGGCTTCCTGGACTCGATCATCTCGCTGCCTCACATCAAGCAAAGACCTGCTCCAAAACCGTTTGTCTCATGCGCATCAAGCAGCGCTTCGGGGTTCGAGTCCTGGCCAAAGACGAAGAGACAGCATTCAAGGCATTGCGACCCGGGGTACCCTACATGGACGTCGAGGTCAAACAAATCTACAATCTCATGCCGCTCCCACACGGCACTCAGAAGTCAGCAGTCAGCGCACTCTTGAAAGAGTGGAACTGGGCAGCTAAGCCACTACAGCCTGGGAAGGGGAATGCCGATTACATGGCATGGACAGTGGGTGCAGCTACGCCTCCTCCACAGCCTATTATGCCAGGGTTCAAGCTTGACATCCTCATCACCGAGGTCTTCAAACGAGCATCCACAACCACCAAGCCGACGGTCATGGCAACCCGCAAAACTGAGCAGCACATTCGCAGCGCTGCAGCGGGACCTCCAGCCTCCAATGATCCATGGCATAACGGCCAGAGCAAAGACCCTTGGGCCAACTTTCGGTCCTCACAGCCAGCCAGCTCCACCGCAGCGCCTGCTGCACCAGCACGCAGGTATGATGACCTAGCAAAAGAGATCAGGCAGGACATCCAGCACGATCTAGATTCCAAGCTGAAGCAAATCGGCACTGCCAATCCAGACACCGACCAGCGCCTACTACAACTTGAGAGTGGACTGGCCGAAATCCAAGCACAAAACAAGCAATTCACTCAGTGGTTCGGCGATGTTCACCACACCTGCCACAGCACACAGGCCTCCATCAGCGAGCTTCAACAACAGGCAGTACACCAACAGCAAGAGCTCCAAAGATTGGGACAAGAAGTCCAAAATGGGCAGGCCAAATTCCAGCAGTTAGTCCAGACAGCAGTGCACGAGGTCAAGAGTGATTTCGCCAAAGAGATGAATGGCCGCTTTGACACGTTGGAGGCCATGATGGCCAAGAAGGCCAAACACGAGGCTTGACTAGGTCACAAGGGGATCGGACCTCGACCGACCGATCCGCCGAAATCATCTCATGGTCGCAGCTTCATCAGGCCACCACTGGGCAGAGTGGGCGCCTCAATCTCACCCGGACCCCTTTCTTTGAGGGGGCTACGTTTTCTTTTGGCTACTCTTTTCTGGACGTCCTTTTCGGCAGCTAAGTCTCTGGAGTATGGAGGGAACACTACTCGAGCCTTTCGGGGACCTGGTTATTGCTCGCAGGACCTTGGATTCGGAGGCTCTTGTGAAACCTCTTCACACTGCTGGCAAGGCTCTAATCTACTTGGCCTTTTACCTGGTGGGGACATTGATCAGGCAAATGGCTTCTTCTTTGGTGCTACGTCTATCGCGGCTCCTCTTTGTCTCTCTCCTCTTCAGGCTGGGGTTTGCGCCTGGGGGAGAATGGGCGGCATTCTGCACTCCTTTTGGTTTGGACTTGGCCGTCTTCGGCTTCTTGGTGAAGCCGCCAATCCTGGGCCCCTTCGGATCAGTACTTCTAATCCCTCGGGGCTACGCACCAAAGAAGAGCTTCTCCTTTCGCTGGGCGCTGGCATACATCAAGTCAGCGAGACGCACCTCAGTGAGGCAACTCAGCGCACTTCCGGCCGTCGGCTTCGGCAATTGGCACAGGCTGAGCACCGACAGGTCAGAACTTTGTTTGGACATCCTGCCGAACTACGCAGCGGTTCATCTTGGGCCGGCTGCTGGTCGGGCGTGGCCACAGTTGGTGATTTCCCCTGTGAAACATTGGACTTGAGAATGCCAGAGGAGTTATGGCGCTCCTGTCGACTTCACTTTTCTATCCACCATGTGGGGATTCACTCCATCATCATGGCCAGCATCTACGGCTTCCCTCGGGGCCCCACATGGCCTGCAGCGGCCGAGCTTACATCACAGCTGCTCGCTTTCATTTCGGAGCATCTCATAGTTGGGTACAATGGTCTGGCCGTGGTGGCTGGGGATTTCAATTTCAATCCTGGAGAGCTTCCTGAAATGCAGCTTTGGGCTTCCTATGGCTGGCAGGAGGCGCAAACGTTGGCTCACACCAGATGGCAGACGCCCATTGCCCCTACATGCAAGGGCAGCACACAGAGGGACCAGATCTGGTTCTCACCCAGGATGGCCGCTTTGTGTACAGAGGTCAAGATCCATGATATCTTCGTGGACCACAGCTCCGTAATTGCTTCTTTCCACCTGGAGGAGGTGCCGCATACTTATCTGTCTTGGCCACGGCCGTCAGAAATTCCTTGGGACAGCATTGCGGTCGACGACTGGCAAACATGTCTGGAAACGCCTGAGGTTTGGTGCAACCAGGACGCCACCGTCTTCTATCAAGACTTCGCAAAGCAGTTCGAGGCTTCTCTTGATGGCCACTGGACCCCTCGCCTGGGAAAGCCTCTCCCGGCAGGATTCAAGGGTCGGGCACAGAGGACCTGTCCTTCCAAGATTCTCAGCTCTCCGCCTTCTTGCAAAGCCTCGCGGCCAGGGGAGATCGAGCTCAGCTACCAGATGCCTGGGAGAGCAGTGCTACTGTGGTACAAGCAAGTCAGAAGATTGCAATCATATCTTCATTCAATCCGGAAGGGAGCCTCTTGCACTTCGGCCACGCTTTATAGGGTCGATCTCTGGCATAGCATTCGACACGCCAAGGGCTTCACAGATGGATTTCCTGCATGGTGGAATAGCCAAGAATTCGTTTTATACCTTGGAGAGTTTCCTCTTTTTCCACCTTCGCGCAATTTGGCAGAGGTTCTCTTCACCACCTTTCTGCATGCTTTTCGTGAGTTCGAGGACTGGCACTTTCAACAGCGCATCGGTATCCTCAAGGCCAAGCGACAGGTCACCATGGATGGGCTCTTCAAAGATCTGCGTCCCCCAGCACGGGATCAGGTTGACTGCCTTTGGAGGGATGAGGAGTTTGTCCCACTTGTGGAACCTGATGATGAGGGGGTTATCCATTTGGATGAGCAAGCCACTCTTGCCAGCAACACCACGTGGCTTCTGGATGGGTTACCAGCACAGGTCACTCCTATCGCAGACAATGTGGTCTTGATTGACTCGGCTGGGCCGTTTTCAGAGGTGTCCAAGTTGACTCAGCGCATCTTCGCCTCCACTGCTATGGAGATTCACACTGAGCTGGGCCAGTTTTGGAGAGACCGATGGTACTTACAAGAACCACCGTCCGAGGAAGCCTGGCTCCGTATAGTCACCTTTACGCAGGCCTTCATGCCGACGGGCCGCTTTGTCTTTGAACCTATCACCATACAACAGTGGAGGGCTTCCATCAAGCGCTTCAAGCCCAAGGCCGCTCGTGGTGCAGATGGCTTTGGCAAGCAAGACCTTCTTCGCATGTCTGATGGCCATATCGCGGCACTCCTTTCTCTCATTGAAGCCGTTGAGCAAGGGCAGGCAGAAGAAGCATTCGTGATCGCCTTGGCCAAGAAGGATTGTTCACACACACCTGATCACTTCAGGCCCATTGCTCTGCTGTCCATCGTCTACAGATGCTGGTCCTCCCTGCGGGCACGCCAGTTCCTACGGCAATTGATGGCATACATCCATACCGATGCCTACGGCTTCCTGCCTGAGAGGGAGACAGCACAAATCTGGTTACTACTTCAGGCACACATTGAATGCTGCCTTCAAGCCTCAATGCCACTTGGGGGATTATCCACTGATGTAGTCAAAGCATTCAACTACATCCAGCGCCCACCTCTCTTCTACTTGGCTACTCATGTGGGGGCCCCACAACGATTGACAGGACCCTGGGCAAGCTTCTTGGCTGGACTGCGGAGAAGATTTCTCGTCCACAACGAGCTTGGAGAAGCACACTTGAGCAATGTTGGATTTCCGGAGGGCGATCCACTCTCCACCGCCGCTATGGCGCTACTGGACTGGTCTATGCATGTTTATCAGTCTCGGTTTGCGCCCTCGGCCAGGACTTTCAGCTTTGTGGACAATATTTCCATTGCGGGACACCAAGCCCAACATGTTGCCCAGGCTTACTTCTCACTGCAAGCCTTTCTGGAATTGTGGGGATTGCTCCTGGATGACACTAAGACCTATTTGTGGGGTACTACGGGCAGCCTGCGCAAGCAACTGAAACTCCTTGGATTCCCTCTCTACGAGGACGCCTTGGAATTGGGCGGTGCACTATCCTTCGGCGCAGCTTGGCGTAATAGGCTTCTTCGTGCTAAAGGCCAGAAACTTGAGGATTGTTGGGCTAGACTTCGTAGATAAGTTTGAAAGCTCTTCCAATGGTATGTTGGAATAAGGCCCTTCATGGGAGTGAAGCATGCCCGCTTGGACTTCAGCATTTTCAAACCCTTCGCCGGCAGGCCACCTCTGCCCTTGGGCTTAGGGTAGGGGGAGCCAATCCGCTTTTGCGTCTTTCACTGTCAGAGCCTCCTGTTGTGGAACCTGCCTTCTTCCAGCTAGTTCGCATAGTTGACTGTCTACGTCGCCTGTGCTTCAAGTCCCCTGAGCTTCTTGAGCGTTGGCAGTCCTTCATGCATGCCTTCGACGGGCGCACGATTCCAGGTCCTTTCTCTCGGTTGGTCACTTGTCTGTCCGAGATTGGCTGGGCTGTTCTTGAGCCACCGTTTGTGTTAGATCATGATGGGTTTGAGCATGACTTGCTTGCTTTGCCACGCCAGCTACTGCATGATTTGTTGCTTGATGGTTGGTTGCAGCATGTCGCCTCAATCGTCTGTAAGCGGCACACTATGTCAGACCTTCGAGGCATCGACCCATACCTCACCAAGCTTGACCACGACAAGCTGCCGGTTAAACAACTGGCACAAACGCTGGCGCTTAAAGAGGGGGCTTTTGTTTCAGCTTGGCACCAAGCCAAGTTTGACGGAACGAAGCAGGCGGAGTGTGCATTCTGTAGGGTTCCTGATCACCCCGGACACTGGCTCTCATGCCCACGATTTCAGGATCTTCGAGTTCACAACCCCGAACTTGCAGCTGCAGCACACCGATGGCCACAGTGTACCATTCATCATTTACTGGTCCCTAGGGCGGACTTTACACGTGAGCTGAAGGACTATTTCATGCACATTCCCACCTCGGGTTCCTTTCTTTCGGAACCTGGGGGTTCACTTCAGGAGCTGTTTACTGACGGAAGTTTGATTGACTTTGTTCCTGGATATATACAGGGAGCGGCATGGGCAGTGCAAAATGCCACTACGGGTCGCCCGATAGCAGCTGGACACCTAGGAGGACTCCTCCAAACGGTCAACAGGGCAGAGCTGACCGCTTTGTTGGTTTGTGTCCGATGGGCCATTTCTTTCGGGGCTAGGGCTCGGATTTGGACAGACTCGAAGTATGCCTGCCGTTGGCTCACCACGGGTCTTGAACAGCAGGTAAGCCAAGTGCCACCTTCAGTTGACAATCACGACCTGATCAACGATCTGCTTACTAGCGCTGCTTTGCTGGACACAGGTCAGGTTGTTGTTTGCTGGATGCCATCACATATTGCACTGGAGCGATGTGGGTCTGCTGAAGAAGAATGGGCCGTGCTCTGGAATGATCAGGCCGATGGACAAGCCATCAGGACCAACCTGGACCGGGACGACATTTTTTGGCAACTTGTCGTTCGGGGCAGGGCCAGGCTGGACAGCTGGGTTCCCTTCCTGCGGGACCTCCGAGGCTTTCTTTTGGCAGTGGGTGATCAGAGTCAGCAATATCAAACAGGCGATGCTGCACAGGTGATCGATGATGCGCCTTGGGATGAGATCGCACAGCAGAGTACGCTTTCGACCTGCCTTCCTGAGGACTGGCATGGCATGTTTCAACTGTTTAAGCCCGCCACAGTTGCGGAATATGCACGGTGGTTGGTGACCGCTTTGCAACCTCTTCAAGATGAGCTGGCTGATCATTTGCCAGTTAGTTTCATTGAGCTCACACTTTTTCTTTTTGAGAGGGATGACTTCGTCATCCCTCATCGGCGAGAAGGGCAGGACATTTTGGTCCGCCCC